TATGATCTAATTACTTAATACTCACAATGGCCCATTTTTCAAATTAAGAAACTATGCTTCAAGGGGATAAAGTATCTCATTCAAGGGCCCACACTTCCTAGAGATTCTCATTCACATCCTCCTGATCCTAGGGCTCTTATTCTGGGGCCTGTTATTCTGGCCCAAGAATCCATACCTCTTCCAGGGCAGGGGACAGTACTGTCATCCCTTGCATAGCCGAGGCTTATGCAAAGTCAAATGCTTGTCAACATTAACAACCTTATTGTTAGTCCATTCTCTGTCAATTTAGGATTACCCTTCCAGATAACAGCATTGCTCCTAAAGGAATGGTTTATTTTTATATATAATTACTGATTAATAAGACAGTTAAAAAAGTTGTAATGAAATTTTTTGCAGAAAGGGTTTTAAGAAATTAGAGTTTAGTAAAGGAAACAAAATATATGCAGATAAGCAAATATTGTGAATATGATCAAGTATAATGAAGTTTTAAGTAGCCAAATCCCTAAATGATTTATCTATTGTAGCTCATGACCACTTTCAGAATGGTCCATAGGCCCAGGTCTAATACCTGAGCAGTGGTTTTCAATGTGAAATGATTTTGTCCTGCAGGAGATATTTGGCAATGTCTGGAGACACTTTTGCTCACCACAACTGTGGAGGTACTACTTGTAGTTAGTGGGTAGAGGCCATGGGTACTGCAAAACATCCTATAATTCACAGGACATCCCCCTGCCACAAAGAATTATGCAGCCCAAAATGTCAATAGTGCCAAGGTTGAGAAATCCTATAGTAGATGATTAAAACATGGTGGAATTATCTACTGTCCTCAGGGTTAAATTAGCACCAAGAATAAGAGCAAGAAGAGCTGGGATCTCTCAGGTTTATAAGTGGAGTTCTAGAAACTGCAAATGTCCCAGGCACACTACTGTCACCTTCAGCTGATTCAAGAGAAGTATTTGATTCTGTAAGCTGCAGTGGAGACAGGGAGGGTTTAAGGTGGACACGCACTTAATTCCCGGTGAATCTGAGTTTCAAGTAGCACTGTACAGGTGCGCAAGAAGAAACTTCCAGCTTTCCTGGATTCACAGAGAGTCTGTATCTTTAGAAAACTTCTACCAAGCTAAATAAAACTAATATATTTTGGCAGTTTTTAACTATTTCATATTTCTAATTTCTAGTATCTAAAATTTAATAAGAATTGCTGCAGGAAAAAACACTCACAAAAACCAAAGGAGATAAACAAAGACTATGCAGGGTTTCCATCATTGCTGTGCCTACCCTCTGCCCTCCCCATTTTCTTACTTGGTAGACTAGTCATTCAATGATGGAGTTAAGGAAGCCACAGAGCTCACTGTAAACGAAGAAGTAATGGTTTTGTAGAGTTAACTTCTTAGTGATAACAAAAAAAAGGAGAAAGTAGACATTTAAACAAAGTACTAGCAACAACAGACAGGAATAGTGAAACACACATTTGTGAAGTTCTGTCAACATCAAACTATGATTTTCCTGTGACAAGGAGTCCTGGTCTACTGATTGAGTCAGAGAGCACTGCCTAAAGAGAACAGGTTGCCACATCTATACGGTCTATGAGAGGACACTATATCCTAGGAAGGAACCACTGCTAGGGTAGTTCCACTCTGCTGCTGAAACTCCAATGGATACACGATCCATTAAACAGAAAGGCAAATATTATAGAAACGTTCAGTTTGGAATAGCAAGGGAATTCATAAATTATCATGAGAGTAAGAAAAGCAATACATGACACTTCTTAGCTCCCCCTTAAGGACTTCTATTGAGACTTAAGTCCTGAAGAATTTCATAAATTGGAAACAAAAATAAACTTGTTTCTTATTGTGGAGGTCTGGGCGGGAATTCTATAGTACTGCTCCATCTTTCCACTCATAAACTAAAATGTGGATTCCTTTAGGGAAGGTAGACATGGAAATACATAAAGGAACAATTACAACAAAATTCCCCAATATCTACATACAAAAAAACTATCGTTAATAACACAGTGTAATATAATGCCTCCAAGAAAACCTTTGGTTAATAATTAGTTCAAGAAAGAAAACCAAGTATTTCAGGTTATTTACTATTCGAGGACAAATAAGTCATGGACGCTATGAAATGCAACATAATGTCATTCAACAAGTGACCTACTACTTTAAAAATCTCTTTTAAAAAAACTTTTAAAAAAACCACTTGCATAAGAAGTCAAAGAGAAGCACTATTTCAGCATTAAGGATTTCTTCTGGGTTAAAGAATGACAATAAAATAATTATATGTGTGGGACTGGTTCAATTATTCTACAAGAGTCCTTGGTGCACACAGTCCCATTAAAGATAATTAAATTGAAAAAAAAAAAACCAATTTTCTTATAGTATAAACAATACATTTTCCCAGAGAAAAAGTGATATATGATAGATAATTTTTCTGATAGATGACAAAAGTCCACACAACCCACAATGTGGCTGACAGTGCTTTGTTTTCCTCACCTAGAAAGTCAGGAATTGGCCTAAATCTCTAAGGCACTATTCAGCTGTGAAATTCTAATTCTAGGGCTCTAATTTTAACAGGGCTTCAGAAATTTGCATTGCTTCTGTCAAAACATTTTAAAATAGTAATAACAGATACATATTTTTCCCCCTGCTTACCCCAGTATCCCTAGTTTAAAGTTTCCATGAAATACTGTGGGAGTTGCAGGCACAGGTGAAAGAAAGAGTATATTACATAAATGCAAAACAAATTATGTTTAATGTCCATGTCAACGTGGGCTTGTGTCTAAGACAGGGAAAAGCTATTAGCAAATTCATTAATAAAAATCCTGTTATTTTTCACATTAAATTATAATTTATTAAAATGAGACAACTCTCTTAATATGAGAATTATGATTCTAGGTAGGAATCAGCCAGAAGGTATGCCCTTGCTTGGAATTTAGTTTTGCTTTACTGAGAATTCATGTGAAGGAAGCCTACTGAGTGTGTTTGTTCTTGGCAAGTGTGTTAGCCAAGGTCTGCCCAGATGATGATGTTTGATGACTAGTTAGGAAAAGGCAAGCTGCGTGGGTTTAACAATTTTGAAAACTAATCGCAAGGCCTTTGTAAAGACATTTTTATGCCACCACATATACAAAAGAAAAACAATTATTGTCCAAAAAGAATATTTCCTAATTATTTTTATTATAAAGACATTCTCAGTGATGTACGGCTGAAGAATTTCTATGCCACTATCCCTGCTATCATAGATCGTCACATAAACAATACAGTATTTTCTTTAACAATTTAAAAATATTATACAAATCTCCCTAGAGGTATACAGCCCCTTGAACCTACCCAGGAGATTCCGTGTCACATTTCTCTGCTGCTGAGTCACAGATACTCCCTCCATAAGGCCAAAGAATCTTTCATTCCCCAGAATTATAGGCACTTTAAAAATGACAATCCTGCCTCTTTACTGCACTTAGCGAGATTTGGATCTGCTCCATGGTATTCCTTTATCTTCAACGGAAGAGCACTTTCGATTACTGGCACTTGAGAATATCAAAATCATCCTTCATTTAAAAATCAACTGGGTAGAAAGTTACGAAAGTGGTTCAGCACACGGTACTTATGATAACCTCATGTTTGTCTCATTAAAACCACC